GGGTGTGTAAGATAATTAGGAGTAATTGAATTATAGTATGAACTAAGAGTCCCAGAAATAACGTAATTGGATCAAGAACTACTAGATAAGCACGAACGAATGTACTGTATTTAGAATTCGAAATCAGGCATTCAACCAGTACAAAGGAATCATTAGTTCATTCAAACACCACATCCGCCACAGCTTAAATTAGAGTCTAAGTGTCTTCTTCTTAAGTTCATCCTGTGTCTGTCCGACAGTGTATTGGATAAAGACTCTGTATTATCTAGAATGCACTCATTAGTATTAGAATTAACAACCGAAATCGGAACAGACTCACTTGATTTTTGGGATTGTGAACAATCACCATGCCGGTTGAATACTGGAACTACTACCTAGAATATGAACCATAGACTATCCTCCCCCACAAAATAATGTCGGACCCTCATATCCCCGAGTTATGAATAATATGGCTTCATTTAAAACATCTTTCTCAATTTGACTAGAGTAAACATTGGAAGTGATAAGGACAAACAACAGTTGATATGGAATTATCTGAATTGTAATCAGAATCGAGCTCATTTAATACTCTTGCTTCGCACTGAACAAGTTTCTCACAAGAAACAAATGCATCATGAGGACAAGTAATATTTGATATGACATCAAGATTTGATTCTTCTGAAATAGTTTCCTCAAATTTATTAAGAATCTCATTGCAGAGCAAAGGATCATTAGAAAAATCAGCATCAATCAAAACTACATCAGATTTTCGATCATGATTAGGTTTATCCGAAATATTCTCACCAGATTTGTAAGAAATTTCATCAGAAATATGTGAATCATTAGGAAAAATCATATCTGGTACAATAACATGAGAAATCTGATATGTTGATTCAATAGAAATTGTTTTCTCGCAAGGATTCTGAGTTTCATTTAACTCTGAACTGCTATATGACTCTAAACTGTTTTTTGAAATCGTCGATAAAGATAAATGTTCATTATAAATATTCAACTTGATAGAATCCGAATCACAAGACCTAATATTAGTTGCAGCAAGATGAACAGTAGTATTACAAACTGACTTAATATGTCCAACATCACCACATTTAAAGCACTTAGAATTACGAAATTTACATGAATTAAAAGTGTGGAACTTGCCACAGAACAAACATTGACCAAACTTGTGCCCATCTTCGTGAACTGCATCGCAACTCCTAAATGAGTTATCTGCATAACCTTGAGTATGCACTGGGATGGGGTGACGTAATGTAGCGGAACTTTTTATATCCTCATGAATTATTTTACGAAATCTCCCTTTACCGCATTCGGAATTTGTATACTTAGCATAGTCTAGAAGTAGTTCCTTGAGAGTTGTATAAGGAAGAGAAATGGGCTTTTCCGGTAAAGCCAAAACTTTTAATAAGCTATATGCTTCTTTCCTGATGAATGTGGGAAAATTTGCCACAATATTAACATCCTCATCATCTTCCTTGGTAACAGCCCAGATTTCGAACCTTTCAAAGTAATCCTCATAAACATCAAAATCCGAATGAATATCTAACTGTTCCATTGCAGGCCCCATTGCGACGCCAATATGATAATTAGGAGTAATTGAATTATAGTATGAACTAAGAGTCCCAGAAATAACGTAATTGGATCAAGAACTACTAGATAAGCACGAACGAATGTACTGTATTTAGAATTCGAAATCAGGCATTCAACCAGTACAAAGGAATCATTAGTTCATTTAAACACAACAGTGAGTCAAGCCACCTTAGTAAAAACATCCTTCCAGAATCAAACAACCGCGATTTACTAGGTGACCTCCAAAAGGGTGAAAATTCATGTACGACCCCCCTTTCATATTCGGGGTTGCTCCTATATATGATGTTGTCCCGGACAAAGTGGCCACAGCCCTTTCAGTGATTAGCTTTAACAGACTTGATAAACACGTACCCACTCATGCATTGCCATCTCCAACATGCACTAGCCATGCCTGATGCATCTTATAAACTATATACTGTCGTCACTATAACAAACCATCAACTTATTTCTATCTTGTTTATTATTATCTCTACTTACCATTTATTCTTACATTTCGGTCTGCTTCAATTGTTTGCATTGTTAATCAGTAAATCTATATATTTATTAATTTACGTTTTCATACAGTCATCTCTCCTTAGCCTTTCTGCATCCGGAGTTTTTCTTTATTATTTTTCATGTTAAAACCTACCTAGTAATGTAATAACTGTTGGTTCCAGAAACCCTACTACCTTAAGACAAGCACATTCAATCAGGTTCTTTCATTTACATTTAACCACATTGTTTTAGATCTATTTTTAACAATCTTTGGATAATCTCGACCAAGTTTTATAATTCAATTGGTTATTATTAGATATGAAAATAAAACAAACTAACAAGATCAATTTGTTTATGGTCTTTGTGAGAGTAATTATCAAACGTTATACATACAATGACCTACGAATTAACGAATCATTCTGTTAGTTTATAGAACTTAACTTACCGCTTATTTACAAGGATTTTTAAGAAAAATTCCAAAAATCTACCATGTTTCAAGGTTGACTAACAGTAATGTCATTGAATATCTTGTAATATTTTAAATATAATGATAGAATATAGAACATGTTCCATTTCTTAAAACTAAGAAAATTTATAGCAAGGATAAGACTTTCCATTCTTAATCAGGTCTACAAACATATATAATACAAACTAAATAAGTTTACTACCATCTCCATAGCTGTATGCACTTGACTGTGGACTATCGATAAAATCACCTCTGCTAATTTTCGTATATATATATATATATATATATATATATATATATATATATATATATATATATATATTTGTTTTAAGCTTTATATTTAGAGTTAGGTTCATCAATCTCAATAACCTGTTGCATATTTCTCAGTTTGTATCATGTAAGTGATGAAAGCTTTGTCAATTAGTTTCGACCCCATTTAAAGTCTACGGCTATTTTTACAAGTTACGTTTGTTTAAGCCTCACACTTAAATTTGTCTCATATCCATATTGACAAGTTAGTTAATAGCTTTTCACATTATATTCTCACTAGAGACAATGAGCATACATATGTATATGAGTACGGTAATGTAGCTACACGTAATTCCGCAAAAGAAGTAGACTCGTAAGTATCTAACTTTAATACTGAGCTTTTGAGTTTTAATAGACGCGTTACTAGTTGAAGGCTCACGGTCAAGCATCTGTACCATGCCACTTATCATTTTGTTGTGGAATCCGTCTCTTCCGGTGGCTAACCAAATTAATAGTAGGACATTAATTTACCTGAGTATGCAATGAAATGTAAATATCTATTCTACACTAACCCCTTCTTCTTCAATTGATTTGGGGATTATTTGATTCGAAGAGACTCCGTTAATGGTATTATCAAATTCTGTCATATCTGAATCCTCTTAATAGACTATATATGTGTGTGTTTTTAGATAATATAAAAGGTGATAAATAAAAGAGGACCAAAAACTTTACATAATATTTTTTTGATTAATTTTTTGAAACATACCAAGTAATATATGCTTGAAAAAAATCGAAATGCTGGTAACAGAAACAGTAAGAAAAACGAACAAAAAAAACAATAGTAAAGAAGGACAAGAAGTTGATCATTGAACATTGTACACTGTGGCGTAACATGCATTTACTTACAAGAAATAAACAGTTTTATCTTTAACTTTGGCTACTATTGTCACTATTGTGTTCCCATTTACTGTTTACCTGCCTCCAAGGTCTGTTTTTTAGCTTTTTTGAATACTAGTAATATTCTCTGAAACAGTACTGTCTTTAGTTAACAGCTAGTCTCTAACACGAATGACAAATCGATACAACGAAAGAATCTTGTTCTTTTTATGTTTTTTTTAGGATCAACTTTGGTCTAAAGCAGCAGAGATGATAAAAATTATCATCCTAATTAAAGAAATATCATCATATTCATACGTACAAATTGTGTGTAAGTCTACATTATGTAATTTACTCAGGCACTCATCTTCATTAATGTCATTGTCATTACTGTCAAGTTATTTTTACAGATAAGGAAAAAGAACAGAAAGAAAAGTTACATACATGAAAAATATATATATAAACAAACAGGCAAAAAAAACCCAACAGACAAGTGGATAAAAATCACTGTGAACGAATAAATAAATTTGAGTTCCTTTATTGTGTATTTTGGAAAAATAGGCAGAGGTAAGAAACAAAGAGACAGACATTGAAAACACCCAATTATCATTGTTATCATTAATAACAATAATAATGGTAATAATAATAATAATAATAACAATAGTGTTTACTAATAAGCATTGATCATTGTTAATAGTTTGTCTTGTTTTTGTCTTCTAGAAAAAAAATGCGGGAAAAAAGTCCGATTACACAAAAATAGTTTCGAATTAATAAACTGTACAAAATGTAAACAGGAATGTCTTTTTTTGGTATTAAACTAATCATTTATTTTCTTTCAATGACTTAAACTGATATAAATATATAGTTACATTAATACCTGAGTTAGTTTAAATGCATTACGATTCAATGTATCAATTCATGTTTTAATTTGTGTGTGTGAAATAGAAAAAACTAACAAATAAATAAATAAACAAACAAACAAGCTTACAAAAAAAAACAAATAAAATGACTACAAACAAATGAACTGTTAAAATAGAATTTGGCATTAGAGATAAACAAACATAGAATTAGAAGAGATACAGTAGTAAGAGAAGGAGAGAAAATCGTATCCTGTTTTCCTGATCAAACATTATTAATCTTTTCTTATTAACAGATGAGTAACATGATGTAAAATGCATATTGATAGTTAGTGAAATATCAGGTTAGATAATATATATATATATATATATATATATATATATATATATATATATATATATATATAAACTGAATAATGTCGTTAGTTTATTTTGATTTTGTTTAAATAAAAGAAAAATGAAAATATGATACTTATTTATAAATTATCAATAGATTATCCAGTTAATTGATCTACAGAATTAGAGAATGTTATATTACATGGTGATGATGTATGCAAATCATTATCTTTTTCATGTACTTCACTTCTCTCCTCGATACAATAACCATTCAATTTTATTTCTGATTGATCGTTGACACTGTTCAATACAGGATTATCATTATTGTTATTATTATTACAATTGTCTATAATCGATGAAACAGTATGTATTTCTTGTGATTTAGTATTTGTAATTTGTATTGTTTCATTTATTAATTGTTCATTGGTGTTTTCATCTTCATTCTTATCCACCTCATTACACGTATTATTATTACTATTATTATTATTATTATTACTGTTATTATTATTATCAGTGGTTTTATTATCGGAAAGAATAGTTAATGGATCAGTAGTAGTTTGTTTCATCATTAAATCTATTCCATTATGTTTTTTCACTGATAAACAATGAGTAAAATGTTCTAAAAATAATGAAGAATTATTTAAATTTACACCACATAAAAAACATTCAAATTTTTTACTACTATTGTCTACTAACTGTGATGTTGATGCTGCTGCTACTGTTACTGCTGATGATGATGATGATGACGAAGATGATGATGATGACAAATGATCATTTAAATTTCCATGCATACTACTTAAATGATAATTTGCCATTTTCTCATCTAAGTAATATGTTTGACAATCAATACAACCATATATTTTACCAAGTGAATGTAATTTTTCTAATAATAATTTAATTTCATAATTAGTTAATATTGTCCAATCAAAATTTGACCAAAGTGTTGTGGTTTGATTTTGAATATTGTATGTTGAACCGACATTAATGATTTGTTGTTGTTGTTTAAAAGGATTTAAAGCGCTACTAGATAAAAGAAGTAAACAAGGATACAGTAATTAAACAAAAACTCAAAATTTATATATTATTGATTTAATAAGTTACATGTTATTTGTTATCCATAATTATCAAATAAAGATTAAATTATTTAGTTGGATCAAAGTCATTTCAATGAGAAATTAATATTTAAAAAAAAGATCAAAGTATCGTTTCAAACAACAACAACAACAGCAACAGACTTCAAACAGAATTGAAACTAGTTATTCCATGCTAGATTTGAAGCTATTACGAGTTCGCTTAGTATGCAAACGGAACAAAGACTTGTTACAGAAGACCAATAAGTTAGATATTCTGATGCGTCCCAGCCCCACTAACTAGAGGAAGAAGTCCAAGCTTGTAATCGGGAAGTATATTCTGCAAACAGCCAGAAACGACCGATCATAAAGAAAACACAAATCAAAACGTATATATACAGCACAAAACCATCTTTGGGGAGAGTTACCAAATAACATACTAAAAGACGCAACGGACGAATAGCATTCCCAAGTGGGAAATACAACACGAAGGTGACAAATGCGCTTTTGTCCTGAAAACAAAGAAATTCAAATTTTCCAAATAGAATTACAAAATTAGGTCCTTTTCCAAGTGAGTTCTGGGGATCTAACGTCCCCAACATTTTGAAATCATTTTCTTTCTCAAATTAATCATTGAATTCTATTTAACTTATAGAAGTAATCATTCAATTCAATAATTGAACAATGATTATTATTATTAGTAGTAGTATAAATCTTGTTATTATCAAATATTTTCTTTCAAATGCATTGATATTGTCTTTTATTCAAACAAATCATATTAATTAACAGAAAGCCATATTTGTTTTTATATATTACAATTAATAGTGAGACTATAATTTATGAATGATATTTGAGTAGCATTAAAACAACTTTGGAATATTCACCTATTTTACTAGAGTTAAATTGGGATTATAGATTAATGTAAAGAATAAGGATTAGGATTTATAGTTGAATGTTAAGGTTAGAGATTAGATTTAATGTTTTCATCATGAGTTGACATTAGCTATGTTACTAAAATGAAATGTAACCAAATGAATAAATGAATGAATTACGTAACAAAATTCAGGATCTATTATCTTAAATATGATTGGTTCATTCATAAATTATAGTCTCGTCAAATGATTATGTTTTTAATAATACTAATAATAATAATACTATTTTCAAATTGAAAAGAAAGTAGTATAAACTGAATTTCTGATTTAAGGAAAAAAACAATTAATCTTTAATTTAACGATTCATAAAAATTAAATTCAATAATATTAAAACTTCATACACATAGTTCTCTTTATCATTTTGAAAAGAGCGAGAACAAACATTCTAGCAGAATAACATGAATTCATTTTTTTATTTCGTTGGTTCTTGTCAGCTGCTTACAACCTGTGATATTTAATATCATAATTACATAATGGGTTTCAAATGACTTACATGAAAGAGTTCGATTGGAAGTTATATTGAAGACATATTCGTATAGTATAGCAAGGGCGTAAATAAATTTAATAGATTGAACATTGTAAATATATACCTTATGTGAAAGAACATTCTACAATATTGATTGTGACAACAGTTCAAACGGATAGAAACAAATAAACATTGATAGGAATAAAATGAGTAGAGTTCAGTTGATAAAATAGGATTATTAATTTGGAAGATAGTTGGAATAAAACTCAATTATGTAATAAATGCAAGAAAGTGTTTAAAGAAAAAGAAAAAGAAAAATATTAAGATACAGCGAAGAAATACTAGTCACCAAGGCAAGGAAAGATTAATAACCATCTCCTTTTGAACACATAAATCAGGTTTTCGACGTCTGATAGCAACGGCTTCAGCAAACTTCAGAAGACTGGAGTTTAGCTGCTTACTAATCACCTTCAATGATTGCAGGGTATCGACCTGATGTCCTGTATTAAGGAGATGTTTGGTGGTTGCACTGTTTAGAGTCTTTCTTTCTCTTGTTCTGAGGCTTTTTGGAACATGTTCAAAAAAATCTAAGATATGCCCTCCTTTTTGTTCGGCCAATGTAGCTGCTTTGGCAGGTACACGTAAATTTATAAATAGTTGAAAGAACTGAATAACTGTTATGATAAAAGTCATCATCATTCTATTTCTTCATCAAATAATTCATTTTAAGGTTTAAACATATAATCTCCATTTAGAAATAATGAAGAGAACTAGCAATTCAGGAGAAGAATTCCCTGAAAATGTAACTTCGAAATATTAGAGCCTCAAGTCAATTAGTTAGACAGACATATATACACAAACATATCCTTACAAAATTAAATAATTAGATGAGTTAACAGCATCAACCTCCCACTAATAGATCAAATTAAGGAATGATAAAATACGAGCAAATATTTGCATAGTAAAATATATAACTTAATCATACAACTTGAAAAAGAAACACTAGCAAATTAATCATACCTTTCTTGTCTTGTTGTCATTATTGACGGAAGTGGTGTCCTATTCAATAATGAACAATTCCCTTCTTCCAATTTCATATTACTATTTTCCCATATTTGTGATTTTTCCAAATTCTTTATAAATAAAATAATAAAAAAAATATGATTCTTAGTAAAAATTTATATGAACAACAGTTAATTGCTTAAAAGAAACAAAAAACACTTCGTTCAATGATATTATTATATTGTATTATATCTTATCCATGTACTTAAATGGTACCAAATATTTTTAAAGGCGGTTAGTTTATTTATTCAGATTACTTACACTGAAAATGAGCATTCAATTTATTAAATGAAAGTAGCATGAAAAAAAAAGCGTTTACATAAGTAAGGATTCTTCCATTCATGTAATTTGACCATCAAAATTATATTTAAATATTTAGCTACTGACCAATTTATAAGTAGTAAAATAAATTATAATAATTTATTGGGCAGAGATATTGGCTGGTTTGAAATGATATAAGTATTGCAAAAACGATAGAAGTTATATTTGACCATGTACTTTGTTTGGAAAGTTAACTACGAAACTGATAACTAAAAAGTTAACTAAGTAAATTAACAGTGAAATTCAACTCCTATCTATTTTGTAACCTCCTTTCAATGACAAGTAAACGAGAGAATTTATCATTCTTATAATAAAGTGTTTATTCCTAATTTCAATGAAATTTGAAAGCACAGGTATTTATATATTTAAGCAGACGACATAAAATATAGACCAGTAATACCCTCTTATAGAGTAATAATCTACATTGTACAATTTAAATTGAAATATTTAGTAAAAAGTAAATGAATGTTTAAATAAACATTGAATGTTCAATGATTACTCTCGAAATCATTTTAAAAATCAATTCAAATTACTCTCAGAGAATACTAGTTGTATGATCAACAAATTAGAGCGAAAAGAAATATAATTTAAAGTTATAAACAGAGATAAATAGTGGCTAGCAGTAAAATCTAAGACATGCGTTTCGTCCTACTTCGGGACTCATCAACTAAATATACCTGAATCCCAGAGTTGATATTCACTTAAATAACTAGTGTAAAAATGAATAATTTGAAGTTGCATCGTGAAAATGCTTATTTCTTCTTTTTTTTCTAGTAATAAACTATGAAAAAGTAAGTTATATTTTTCAAGTAGAATAATTAATTTACACACGTAACATTACAATCATTTAATACATATTAGACTATTCTAATTTTTAAAATAAATAATCTCAGAGGTTTATAAACATTGAGCTATTGTTTCTATGATTTTTATTTGTTTATTTTTTGTTTTCACTTGTATATAAAGAGATAGATTGAAGTGGATTAGACCTGAACTAATCAATAACAACAGTAATAACTCTATCCATTTTCTTATAATGGATAATAATAATAAGATATTTTCATCAAAATGAAATAATGAAAAATAAATTATCAGTTTAGGGGTTGTGGAGATTGTTAAGTTTTTGATTAAAATCATGAATCGATTGATGTTAGACCACCATTAAAAACCTGGAAGCACTGGACAGCCTTCGCTCTAACATTAATCGGATCATGATCTCAATCAAAAATAATTTATTTACATTTTCTTTTTAATTGAATAATATTTAAAAATGAAGAATATTTGAGCGAACAACTGTTTTTTCTAATAACTTTATCATCAGGCTCTACAGTTATAAGTCTATAATTATGATATTTTACACAGGCCAAAAATAAGGCATGTAATAATCAAATTTCACAATGTTATGTGTTAAAAATGGTGAACGTTTACATCTATTACGATATATATCCTTCAAAATTGTATTATTTGCAAATTAGAAAGGTCATTCAATAAAGGTCAGAATGATTTGGAGTAGTGCCCAGTCACAATAAGTAGAATAGTATTATAGCAGAAATGAAGATGCAAAACAATTGTGTGAATAAAATGCATAGTAGGAGAATTTCATTTTGTCAATTGAGACAATAATAATAATATAGTTGTGTGAATATAAGGGGGGGGTTGTTATCGAGGTAATTACGATAAACGAATTGGGAATGATGGATGTGAAGATTAAGACAGAGGTAATCAAAAAGAGGAAGGGGGTAAGATGTTTATAATATTCAGTTTAGGTATCCAGTGATCCAGTCGTGGGCCAAGGTAAACATAGAGGCTGGGTATACTTTTTCTGGATATATAAATTTGGTTTTCTGGAGTTGATCCAGATGGCTTCGGCTATGTAGAGCAATCGTAATCTAGCTCCTTGAGGTAGATATTTTGGAACTTGATATAAAACAGATAAAGCTTCCTCTATTTTGATATGATGTTCACTATCTACCAAGTGAGAAAGAATAGCATTGTTAATCGATTTAGCAACTCCTTTTCCAAACCATGCTGGTACATGTTCGCGAACACGCAAGGATAAAGCCCTCTGAGTACGGCCTATGTAACTACCTCCACAGGAGTAGTTGAATTGATATACACACATGGAGGATCCCATCTTCGGTAACCTATCCTTGATTAGTTGTGTCAGTGCTGGTTTAATTGAGAAAATTATGTGTAACTTGGTGGTGTGAAACGTCCTCTCGACAGATCATTTTAAGCGACATGTTAAAATATCACTCGCCATGTCCCCTTTAAAGTCAAGTCTCGGATATAAGGTTTTTTTACTGACTGTGTCACAATTTGTTCCTTTTTCTAGTACTTTCTGAGAGGTATTTTTTAACGAAATTATCTGGATAGCCATTATTTCGTAATGTGATCTTTAGTATATCTATTTCTCCATCCACACTGTCTTCAGAACATAATAACTTGATTCTGTGGTTGAGACATTTAACGAAATTTGTTTTATATTAAAGAGTTGTGGAGCTTTGGAAATGGGTATACTGGCCCGTCCATGTACTCGTTCTAAATATATTTCGCTTTATGGAACCGTCTATCCTTCTAGAAAGTATGACATTCAGAAAAGCTATACTATTGTCTTTCAAACAGCCATTAAGGCTGGGTGGACGTTATTGAAAGAGTCCAACATCTCCTGTTTGTCGATATTTTCGTCACATACGATTAGTGTGTCATCTATCTATTGACAGTAATAACATTTATTAATTCTATAAATCTTATTCCATACTACATTCATAGAGAAAAATATAATATTGTAAAATTTTCAATAAAAACTATCAAAATAACTACAATCTTCACAAAGCCCCAATCCGTGTTAGATGGAGACAGTAATCCACCTCAGACAATGGATGAAGTGTTGCGTAAAGTCATGAATCTATTGAAATTAGATACTATTGAATGACGGCTCAGTGGTCAAGAATTTAAGCGTATACGCGTGATGTCGGAGGTTTGGGGCTCAAATCTCACGTGCCGGATCGTGGATGTGCACTGTTGAGGATTCCCATACTAGAAAGAAGCGACCGTCCAGTGATTCTAGGTTTTTAATGGTTGTCTAGATTAGATAGACTCATGAGTTCAACTGTTAAAATGAAATTTAGAATTCTGTACTGATATATATATATATATATATATATATATATATATATATATATCCAACTTCAGTTAAATGATGATTTTGAGAAACCATATTTAATTCTGTACTATAAACAATCATAAAGTGAAAAAATTCGCCTATTACTACTGACCCTTATAGCAAAAGTAATCATGTACTCACTGCTGATTAACTTCAAAAAGTAATTTCAGGAGTTTTATTGATAAGCCATAACCAGTAAAGTTCAACTACATTGAATGGGAAACAGTTCTTTACCGCAAGCAATAACAAACACCACAATGTTTAAAATTCAAATTGACTTCAGTATATAAACAGAAAAAACTATTGACAAATGTATATAAACAACAAAATAATGAAAATATATAACAATGAATATTTAATTGGAATTATTTAGCTTAATTATAAAAATACAGGTTATAGTGCCGATGCAAGTTGATGTATATAAAAACCAGCTTAGAAAAAAAAAAAGCACACAAAAACGACGTCAACAGTATACAACTAAATTTTAAAAAAAGAATCACTGAACAATTATATTCTGTCCCCTTTCATTCAACATCATCACCATCACCACCATCATTAGTATGATAGCTACTCATTTTCAGTCTATTGTTTAATTAATCAAACTTTATCAAATTGTATTTTGATGAGTATATATGAATGCATGCATACATAAATACATACATCTCTACTTACATAAAGAGAGTTGCATGCTTATAAATGCACGCATTACTAGTCAGTTATCATTGACAATTATCCATAAATGAATATTAACTATAATAATAATAATAATAATAATAATAATAATAATAATAATAATAACTTTAATCGAAATTACTCTCTTCATCAAGTAACTGACTAACTAACCACTGAACTGCATTCGAGACAAATCAACTATCAAATTCTAAATATATACTGAATAGTTGAAAGAAATAAAAGAAATGACTACATACTATAATTGATTATATAAATATATTCAAATGATATATATTAACCTATGCTACGCTCTACTCTTGGTTAGACGCCAAAATAAAACAGTAACACAAAAGAACACGGTATAAACAATGATCATAATAGAGAGGTGGCGGTGATGGTATTATAAATCTAGAATGAAAGTATACTTATTCATTGACACAAGAAAATATATTATGGTATAATTTAATTTTCCATGTCAACAAGTACTCATTTTTATAGCACTTCTAATATCAATATTATGACCGGTTTTACTTTATGCATTTTGTTTGGCTGTTGTGTTTTCTTTTCTTACATTTGATTATTTGTGCTTTAAATGTGAAAGGGTATTTCTTTTACTGAATATACTTGAACAAATGAATGAATAGATGTAATGCAATAGTAGGTCTATGGAGAGTAAAATGATTATAGACACATTCATACTCTCTGTCTCTCTCTCCCTATTCAGCTCTCTATTTACCTCATTTTAATTCTTTCTGTCATTTCTATCTATTTGAATCATTTTTGCACGAATGGTTGATCTGTATGAACCACTGTAATATATTCGTCAACCTTTCAAATTATGACAATAATTAAGAAGGGAAAAATGTAGACGAAAAAGATGCAGTTGAAAATGAAGAAGTGGTGGACACGAAA